TTCAAGGCTCCAGTGTCAAAGCGGCAAGTCGTAAAATGTTTACCAGTATGATAGTAGAAACAAGAAATTTCACTACAAAATAGTTTGGCGAACGTACAGACCGGTATTGGTCGGATTAGTCTGATCTCTTAAAAGAAACAAAAAAAGGAAAACAAAATAAAAGACACGCGATCAATAAATTTCAAAATGGGAAAAAAGGACCGTCGAGCAAATCAGAAGGGATCAACACGGCAACAAAATGGCCACCCATTCGTCACGGATTCTCTTGTCAATACCATCCTGAATAGAGGTGGCTTACCTGATCATCTGAAATCTTTCGGTGCACTACAAACGTACCTGAAGCAAGTCTTTCCAGGAGATGTGGCACTCCAAGCTTTCTTTCAATCTCTAGCCAAAGGTCTCGAGGGAGGTAAACCTCTGATAAACCAATCGGTTCAAATTGTTGCGCAAACTCCAGAGAAGATGCCACTCTTGACCTGGGTTTGTCAATACGAGTTTTTTGAATGCTAGATTAGGCTGCAACATGTCCGAAGAAGTTGTCTTCTTGGTGTTGAAAGCAGGTGCAGACGTCAACGCAATTCTGCAAACCAATCAGACCACTGCTCTCTTTTCTGCTGTCAAATACGCTTCTCTAAATACTGTCGACATGCTTCTCCAAGTTGGTGCCAATATTCACCAATGCGACTGTTTTGGTCGAACATGTCTTCACAATGCCCTGGAACATCCCAAACCGGCCGTGATTCGTCGCTTGTTGGAGTATCTCCCTGCAACTGAAATGATTGATTCATCTAATGGGAAAGCAAAACTTTTCATCTCAATGGCCGATGTATTGCTTGGATTCGCTACGAGTACCTCACTCCCAGTGCCTTGGGTGAATATGGGTGTTCCCCCCCTCACAGAAGACATGTGCGAAGCCTTCGTGTTGATTCGTCAAAAGGGCGCACGGCTTGCAGCGAAAGGATCTGGTTATTCGATCAAAATAATCAGCGCTTCTATCAAATTCCCAACTCATCCTCAGATTCGGCATCCCAAGTTGCTGCAGAAACTAGCGGCAGTTTTGGTAGGGACATACATTCCTGGAAATTGCAGGCCCAAACCTGACGAGGCTGAAGTTTCCGAGACCAGTCAGGAACAAGATCCAGAATCCAATGAGTGCCCAATTTGTCTTGACAATGTCAAGAAAAGTGTCACGTTGTATTGCGGTCATACATTCTGTAGGCGATGCATTCTTGAACATGGGAAAAGCGGGGTTGAATGCCCAATGTGTCGGGCACAACTTTGCCACGACGTGTCAACAAACGTCAGTAGTCTAGCCCCTCACAATCTTATGGGGATCGACAAACAAGCTATTGACAGACGTGGGCCCAAGTTTTTAACAAATGAACAAGTGGACAAAGAGTCAAGAGCCCAAGGCATCTACAGCTACTTTTCATCGTACGCTTCCCTGCGGCAGAAGCTCGAAAGTGTCATTGAAAAACGGTAGAAGAATCTCCCAAGAGATGAAACCAATTAGTATGGGCAACGTGAGGGATATCAACGGAGGAGGGCCTTCGATGAATCTTAGTGGCCAAGGTCGAATCCGATTGGAACTCGCCAGCAATGTTACTGTAGCATCAGGAACCCCTCTTTCCAATCTCAATCTTTGTCCAAAAAATGGAATGGCAAGCATTGAGGTCTCAATCAATGGCATACCTTTGCTGGCTCGGGTCTCGAATCAAAGTGTATACACGTTATTGTCCAAGACAATGGTTGATCAACTAGGTCTCAAACGCATTGACAAACTGAAGTCTAAGAAATTTGTGAGCATGCATGGCAACAAAATGAAGAACGAAACATTTACCTGCCTTGAGCCCATGAAAATATGCTTCCAAGGAATAGAAGTGACACTTCGAAACGCCATTGAAGTCTTTCCATATCCACCGAGGTTCATGACGACAGTTCAGCTAGGTCTAGATTTCCTTTGTTCTGGGCTGCTGAGTGTCATTGATGTTCAAGTTGGCGAAGACGCTGGAAACTACTTTCGTATAGTTGCGGAGGATTCCTGGTCCGCACGAGCATCGAACGAATCGTTTCGGCACTACACACACCATGGAAAGATGGTTTCGACCATTTCCTTGAGAGAGCATGTGAAATTCGATCAATGTTGTTGGTGCTGTAGAGGGTTTCCCGACGGAATGCTGGAATGCGGAGGTTGTAAGGAAGCCTACTACTGCGATGAGCGATTCACAAGCTGACTTGTGGGGAAGAATCTCAAACGTAACACCCAACAAATCTTGAATAATAGAAAGTGAAGTAAGTATAGACACAATATTACTTGCATTATCATTGTGAATGTCTTAGTCGAACGAGTCAGTCGGACTCACTCCTCACTTCGCAAGCAATAATATTTTTCCTATTTCATTATCGTATCACAAACTGTATCCATCTCGTTCATGAAGCAATCGACATGAGTGTCATTCTAGCTACCGCTGGATATGATCACAAAATAAGATTTTGGCAAGCACCCTCTGGAGTTTGCTCGCGGGTG